CACTTGCACAGAGTAGTCCACAACCTTGGGTGGCATCAAGTGGTAGCCTTGCCAATATACGACCTCTATTTGTTATATTACCCGCCTTATCGAGAGCCCCGGCTTCTCTCAGCATTGACGCTGACAGGACCACACGACGGGTCTCAGGGTCGTGTGGGAGGTTCTTATAGAAAGTGAGGAGCTCATCGAGACCTCTGATAAGGCGACCATTCGAGAGGCAGAGTGACTGCAGCAGAATACCCTCCAGAGGCTCTCGTGCTATATTCGGCTCGAGCTGCTCTGGTAGACCAAAATGGAACATCTTCTCTGGAATCAAGTGGAAGCAAGTACCGCTACACGTACGTCCAGTGCGGCCCCTACGCTGAAGACAGTTGAATTTGCCAGCCCACCACACTTCCAAGTAGTTCTTGCTCTTCTTCACCTTCTGCCGACAGCAGTCTATAACGTATCTCAAGTCGGGGATGGTCAAACTTGTTTCGGCAACATTAGTCGCCAGCACGCACTTTATCCTAGGGCCATCAACACTCTCCAGCCGCTTGAAAAGCCGACTTGCATGCTGCCCTGCAGTGACCCTATGGAAGGGTATGAACAAGTAGTGTTGTCTGAAGGTCTCAGCGCACGGCGAAGATTTTAAAAGATACCTCATGAGTTTCGAGATAGAGCCCATACCCGGCAAGAAAATGAGCACCGCACAATACCGTTTCTCGTTCTCCTCCTCCTCAGGGTGGTACATTGCCTCCATCTTGTCGGTCCAGTCATCGATTATCCACATGAGCAAACTCTCGATCAACTCTGTGGGTATCCGGCGGGGCTCCAAGGCCGGCGAGCCCAACGCTTGCTGAACCAACTCATCGTTGTCGTAATTGGTGAGTCCAGCTTCTGAAGCCTTCTGGAAGATCTGAGCATCGTCGAGCGCCAGAGTAGCCCAGTGGCTCACACGGTCCCCACGTCAGCGGCCGGGTTCATCTTGGTGTAGACCGGGGGTTCAAATCCCAGCAGCTT